TTCCGTCCGTCCGTTCGTCCGTCTGTTGTAATCACGCTATCTTCTGAAGGAATTGAGATAGGGTGCTGAAATTTGGCATAGGGTTGTTTTTTGTCTGCAGGCAGGTCAAGTTCGAAGGTGGGATATATCGGTCCACGTTTAGACATAGCTCCCATATAAGGGTACCCCCCAATTTTCGGTATTTTGGGGTTCTTGACCGTGTTTTTCAAACGAATTCGCTTAAATTTGGTACGTTGTATTCTTATTGGGTACTAAATGTCTCCACAAAAAATTATGAGTATATGTCCATTTATCTTCTGAAGGAATTGAGATAGGGTTCTGAATGTTGTTGCTGTTGTTGCACAGGTTGCCAGATACCTTGTGGTTGAAGTAATTGTTGTTGTCGCTCATATTCTCTTTCCTGTTGTCCATGTAAATACTCCGGATGATTTACATTATAGTGCATTTTTAATGCTTGAGAATGTAAAAACATTCTACTGCAAATTTGGCAAATTTTATGAATTTTCATATGCCGTACTAGGGCTAAACTAAAATTAAATTCTTTTGAGCAGAAATTGCATACGAATTTTGCCATTTTGAGTTATAAATTTTATACAAACAAATCACAATAAAAAGTTTTTCACAATATTACGTTTTTCACAATAGTAAGTTTTTCAGAATAATAAATTTTTTCACGATATTGCGAGATATTGATACCGCAAGATATTTATGCTGTAAGATATTGATATCGTAAGATATTGATACCGTAAGATATTGATACCGCGAAGGTTGCTTTCTCAAGAAGAAGAAGAAAAGTACTAACTAAATGTGGGTAACTATGTAAAAATTAAACCATGGGAACAATTGATTTAGAGATACATCAAATATTAGAAAAAAAAATAATTATATGACAGATAATCAATGGTGGGGCAGACATATGGTCTTGGTAGAATCTATAGACCGATGGGCGCCTCTCCAATCATAGCAACAAACACTTGCTGATAAGAGACTTAAGATTCACATTGGCTCAATGGACAGACATTACATCTTGTAAATTCTAACAAGCTACAAACAGTGGATACATATTGGAAACAACAGCAATAACAGATCAGTGAACTCATGTACAGAAACAAATTCTTTTTGATAAGACACACATGATCGGATAAGACACACTTGTTCCAATGGACACTCATATGAGACACTGCTTCATGTATTTCACAACCAACCAAGAAACCAAGAAAAACAAGTGGGTAGAGAAGGGGGGATAAATGTAGATAAGAGCGGTGGGCGCACTGCATCACGAAACCCAGTGAATAGGGAGGGGGGGGGGGGACACTTACCGAAAAAATACGGAAGAAAGGGGGAAGAACAAATGTGGGACACAAGTGGTATTGATTCAGGGTCATCAAGGTTATACGAATGGACCGCATTGGACAAGACAAAAAAGAAAACAAGTGGATAGGGAAAGGGGGAAACGCACATAAGCTTACGGGTAATATATGGAACAATGGGGGAAGAACAAATATTTGGAAAGGGGGAAACACACATAAGCTTACGGGAAATATACGGAACAAAGGGGGAAAGAACAAATATGGGACACACGCGCTATTGATTTCAGGGACCAATAAACTTTCAAGGTCATACAAACGGACCACATTGGGTAAAAACGAAAGAAAATATTGAACAGACGGAAGGCATAAAACCATAAGAGGGAAAGATGATCACACAACACACCAAGAGGAAAAGCGAAGGATGAATCATCAATACAGACCAATTACGTCATTTGCGTAAAGCAATTAACATAAATCAATTTGCGTAGAGCGATTTTCAGGGTCATCAAAATCATATAAATGGACCACATTGGGGAAGACGATAGAAAATATTGAACAGACGGACGGCATAAAACAACAAGAAGGAAAGAGGTAGAACACAATATGATCACACAACACACAAAGACGAAAAGAGATGGATGAGTCATCACTACAGACCTTTTACGTCATTTGTGGAAAGCAATTAGCATAAATCAATTTGCGTAGGGCAATTAGCATAAAGCAATTTGGCGTAGTACATATATCTTACAGATACTTCCGTCCGTCCGTTCGTCCGTCTGTTGTAATCACGCTATCTTCTGAAGGAATTGAGATAGGGTGCTGAAATTTGGCATAGGGTTGTTTTTTGTCTGCAGGCAGGTCAAGTTCGAAGGTGGGATATATCGGTCCACGTTTAGGCATAGCTCCCATATAAGGGTACCCCCCAATTTTCGGTATTTTGGGGTTCTTGACCGTGTTTTTCAAACGAATTCGCTTAAATTTGGTACGTTGTATTCTTGTTGGGTACTAAATGTCTCCACAAAAAATTATGAGTATAGGTCCAATTTTTCTAGTAGCCCTCATATAACGGCACCTTCTAACTTTCAGTATTTTGGGGGTTTTGATCGTATTTTTACATCGAACTGGCTGTAATTTTGTATCTTAAGTTCAACGTTAGGTACCAAATTTCTCCACAAAAAATTATGAATATGGGTCCATTTTTTCGGGTAGCCCCCATATAAGGGTACCCCCAATACTCGGTATTTTGGGGTTCTTGAGCGCGTTTTTCAACAGAATTCGCTGCAATTTGGTATTTTGTTGTATATGGTATATCGTATATGGTAACAAATCTCCCTACCAAAAATTATTTATATTCGCCCCCTTTTTGGGGTAGTCCCCATATAACCCCCTTTTTATACCCTCCTCCATAGTATGGAGGGTATATTAATTTTGTCACTCCGTTTGCAACTCATCGAAATATTCATTTCCGACCCTATAAAGTATATATATTCTTGATCAGGGTAAAATTCTAAGACGATCTAGCCATGTCCGCCCGTCTGTCTGTTGTAATCACGCTATATTTTGAAGGAATTGAGATAGGGTTCTGAAATTTGGCATAGGTTTGTCTTTTGTCTGCAGGCAGGTCAAGTTCGAAGATGGGATATATCGGTCCACGTTTAGGCATAGCTCCCATATAAGGGTACCCCCCAATTTTCGGTATTTTGGTGTTCTTGACCGTGTTTTTCAACAGAATTCGCTGAAATTTAGTACATTAGGTTCTTATTGGGTACTAAATGTCTCCACAAAAAATTATGAGTATAGGTCCACTTTTTCTGGTAGACCTCATATAACGGCACCTTCAATCTATCAGTATTTTGGGTACCAAATTTCTCCACAAAAAATTATGAATATCTGTCCATTTATCTTCTGAAGGAATTGAGCTAGGGTTCTGAAATTTGGCATAGGGTTGTCTTTTGTCTGCAGGCAGGTAAAGTTCGAAGATGGGATATATCGGTCCACGTTTAGGCATAGCTTCCATATAAGGTTACCCCCAAATTTTCGGTATTTTGGGGTTCTTGTGTTTTTCAACAGAATTCGCTGAAATTTGGGACGTTGGGTTCTTATTGGGTACTCAATGTCTCCACAAAAAAATTATGAGTATAGGTCCACTTTTTCATATAACTGCATCTTCTAACTTTCAGTATTTTGGGAGTTTTGATCGTATTTTTACATCGAATTGGCTATAATTTAGTTTTTTTAATTTTTTATAGGTACCAAATTTCTCCACAAAAAATTATGAATATAGGTCCATTTTTTCGGGTAGCCCCCATATAAGGGTACCTCCAATACTTGGTATTTTGGGGTTCTTGAGCGCGTTTTTCAACCGAATTCGCTGCACTTTGGTATTTTGTAGTCGTATATGGTAACAAATCTCCCTACCAAAAATCATTTATATTCGCCCCCATATAAAGTATATATTCTTGATCAGGGTAAAATTCTAAGATGATCTAGCCATGTCCGTCCGTCCGTCCGTCTATTTTAATCACGCTATCTTCTGAAGGAATTGAGATAGGGTGCTGAAATTTGGCATAGGGTTGTCTTTTATCTGCAGGCAGGTCAAGTTCGAAGATGGGATATATCGGTCCACGTTTAGGCATAGCTCCCATATAAGGGTACCCCCATTTTTCGGTATTTTGGGGTTCTTGGTGTTTTTCAACCGAATTCGCTAAAATTTGGTACGTTGGGTACTTATTGGGTACTCAATGTCTCCACAAAAAATTATGAGTATAGGTCCACTTTTTCATATAACTGCACCTTCTAACTTTCAGTATTTTGGGAGTTTTGATAGTATTTTTACATCGAATTGGCTATAATTTCGTTTTTTTAATTTTTTATAGGTACGAAATTTCTCCACAAAAAAATTATGAATATAGGTCCATTTTTTCGGGTAGCCCCCATATAAGGGTACCCCCAATACTTGGTATTTTGGGGTTCTTGAGCGCGTTTTTCAACCGAATTCGCTGCAATTTGGTATTTTGTAGTCGTATATGGTAACAAATCTCCCTACCAAAAATTATTTATATTCGCCCCCTATAAAGTATATATATTCTTGATCAGGGTAAAATTCTAAGACGACCTAGCCATGTCCGTCCGTCCGTTTGTTGTAACCACGGTATCTTCTGAAGGAGTTGAGATAGGGTGCTGAAATCTGGCATAGGGTTGTCTTTTGTCTGCAGGCAGGTCAAGTTCGAAGGTGGGATATATCGGTCCACGTTTAGGCATAGCTCCCATATAAGGGTGCCCCCCAATTTTCGGTATTTTGGGGTTCTTGACCGTGTTTTTCAACCGAATTCGCTGAAATTTGGTACGTTGGGTTCTTATTTGGCACTTAATGTCTCCACAAAAAATTATGAGTATAGGTCCACTTTTTCTGGTCGCCCCCATATAACAGCACCTACAAGATGTATATAGAAAATAATAGAGATATGATTTGGTAAATATCGAAAAACCTAGTTTAAATTTCGAAATGTATTCAGTTTAAGAAAGTCTTTGTAAAAGTAACATGGCAAATTTAATTAAAAATGAAAACATGGATATGGAAGAAACATTCCATATGGAGTCTGAGGAAATGGATGATCAAAAAATGAGGAGCCTGAAGTACTGGAGGTTGCAAGAAATACAATCTTGCATAGAGAGCAACAAAGATTCTATATGGAGTCTGAAGAAAAAGACGAACAACCTGAGGAGTACACAGATGTAGAGTTCGATAGAGCATGTATGAATTATGAGGAAGAACAACAACAACAAATCAGTCATATGGAGTCTGAAGAAATAGTCGAGCAACCTGAGGAGTATACAGATACACAACTCGATAGAGCATGTACGAATTATGAGGAAGAACAACAACAACAAATCAGTCATATGGAGTCTGAAGAAATAGTCGAGCAACCTGAGGAGTATACAGATACACAGCTTGATAGAGCATGTACGAATTATGCGGAAGAACAACAACAAATCAGACATATGGAGTCTGAAGAAATAGTCGAGCAACCTGAGGAGTATACAGATACACAGCTCGATAGAGCATGTACGAATTATGAGGAAGAACAACAACAAATCAGACATATGGAGTCTGAAGAAATAGTCGAGCAACCTGAGGAGTATACAGA